TAAAAAAAAAAAAGAAAAAACTGTTTTTTGATAACATGAATTCTAGGCCATGCCCTTCTCCCATGTTATTCTACTTCAATCAAGTTGAATTTGGTATAGGAGTTCATTCTCTGAATCTTCATTCCATCCATTTTGCCTGCAGAATTTCCCTGCGTGTAGTCATTTTGGTCTATTGAATAGCCTATTATGGATTGATAGAATTTATTTTGCTGTAAGCTTTTTTGTGGTTACTCATAGTAAGACATTCTTTTTTTTTTTTTTTTGTGAATTACGAGGATAATTGGTTAGTGATATCTTTTATTGTGAAATTTTGAGGGGTGCAGAGTTATTTATTTTAACCGTGGTTCGCTTTTATAGATAAACACAAAGAAGGGCACACAGGTCCACTACATGAGTGGGAGTTGGTCATCTTTTAAAGAGGCTCCTGCATTTTTTATTTGCTTTGTTAGGATCCTGAGGTGTGCAAGGTCTTTGAGTTTGATTGTGGTTCACAAATATAGAGAATAGAGCACATAGATCAGCATGTGATAGGCAGTTGGTTATCTTGTTAAATAGCTCCTGTGTTTATGTCATCTGTTTTAGGTGATGGACGGGGATTTGAGTATCTAATGTCTGTAAACCCTTACTCTGAGAAGATCCAATTTATTGTCGAGGCATAGCCAGGTATTGTGTGTAAGTTAGTTGGAAAAACTGCTGTAACCGATTAATAGTTGATTGTCTATTGAAAGAGTGCTTTATATGGGTAGTAGAATTAAAATCTTGCTATACGTGAGAGCTGTGGTTTTGGGTTTTTTTTTGGGGGGTGGGGGGTGGGAGGGGGGATCAGAGGGAGAAAGAAACTAGTCAGAAAGTGAGTGCTGTAAATATATCTAGTTACTTGCGCATAAAAGCATGCTTGACCATTACCCTAAAAAATATCTGTTGAATTTTCTTTTTGTTGTCATTTATGTACTAATATTTCAGCGCGTCTCTATTTATCAAGTTCTTATGTATGCATTTAGAAATGGTGTTTGAAGAAGGCCTTCATTTCCTACAAACATTTTTATCATCAGTGTGAATCTCGAGTGTGCAGAGCACCTATGTGGGGTTAGTGTCAATGCTATGTAAAAGTTAAGAATAACAAAATACTACTTTAAGAAGAAGAGAAAATAGTGAAGGGTATTACATCAGTGGAAGAAAGCAGTCACTTTCTCAGCACTCAGTAGACTAATTGTGACTTGCTGATTTAACTTTTTTCAGATGGAGGAGTTCTTCTCTGGGGACAAAATCTTCAACAAAAAGCCACATTACTATCGAACTGCAGAAGTGGCTGATATGTGGTTTTCTCCAGAAGTTGTGTGGGAGATAAGGGGTGCGGACTTCACGGTGTCACCAGTGCATCATGCAGCCATTGGTTCAGTCCATCCATCTCGTGGTATCTCTGTCAGATTCCCTAGGTTCATTCGGTGTTTGTCAGATAGAAAACCTGAGGAATGTAGCACATCTGCAGATATAGCCGACATGTTCCGCTCTCAGACTAGAAAAATGGATGTGAATGTTGAACATTGATTGTAAATTTTGTTTATCCTAAAGGAACCTCCCTCCCAAATGGATGTGAATGTTGAACATTGATTGTAAATTTTGTTTATCCTAAAGGAACCATTACTAATCTACCACAGAGTGTTTAACAAGCAGAAACATTGTTATTGGTGTGAGTTTGCACTTAGGCATCCTACTGAGAGAAATGCTGAAAGATTGTTTTACATCCAGGTTCAGCTTTGCTGTTGCCTTTGCTTAAAAGGACAATAGGAAGCACCCATGATAATAAAGAATCTACTGATCAAGTTCATGCAGAGCAACTGCTTGTGCATGACAAAGTGGGCTAGTTTGGGCTTTGATCCGGTTAAATATCATGGTATAGTCAGTTTTCACACTGGTCAATGAAAAATAGCCAGCGTTTATCAAGTCAATGAAAAATAGCCACTATTTTGCTGCAACAGGGACCGGTCCAGTATAATATACGGGAGCTCTGGTGCATTTGTGTACGAACTCCAGCATATTATGCTGGACCGGTATACTTTGCTAACTCCTGTAAAATTTGCGGGAGACTGGAGCACCAGTGCTCCAAACTCCAGTATATTATACTGGACAATTATACTTGCTGGAACTCTCGTAAAATTTGCGGGAGTTCCAGCATAGTTATGCTGGAACTCCCGTATTTACGGGAGTTCCAGCATAACTATGCTGGAACTCCCGTAAAATTTGCGGGCGTATTTTTCCGGATTTTGAACAGTGTTTTCGCTCAGATTTAAAGTGGCTAAATTTCGATGACTTTTGAAACTTGGCTATTTTTCAACGACCAGTGGTAAATCTGGCTATTTTTGAATTTCTCCCCTTTGATCCGCGTCCTTAAGAAATGGGGTAAATTTTAAAAATAGCCTGCAACTGGTCGTTCAAAAATAGTCCAATTTCAAAAGTAATCGAAATTTAGCCACTTTTTATATAAAGATAAATCTGATCGAAAACACTGTTCAAAATCCGGAAAATACTCCAGTATATTATGCTGGAGTTCCAGCATAAGTATACTTGAACTCCAGCATATTATACTGGAGTTCCAGCATAAGCACACTAGAACTCCAGCATAATATACTGGAGTTCTAGCAAGTATATTGGTCCAGTATAATATACTGGAGTTTGGAGCACCGGTGCTCCAGTCTCCAGTATATTATACTGGAGCCAGCAAAGTATACCGGTCCAGCATAATATGCTGGAGTTCATACATAAGTGCACCGAACTCCAGTATATTATGCTGGACCGGTCTCTATTGCAGCAAAATAGTGGCTATTTTTCATTGACTTGGTAAACGCTGGCTATTTTTGATTGACCAGTCCGAAAAATGGCTATACCATGCTATTTTCACTAAGAAATGGGGTATTATTACTTTTAGTCCGCACCAGAAACTATTTACATTTGGTAGCCGAAAAAAGTATATAAAATTTGTATAATTTTTGTATATAATATATAGAATGTATATATATATATACAAAAAATATATAAATTTTATATAATTTAGCTATTATTTTACAGCGGCTATACAGTGTCATTTTTCTTTAAGAAAATGTAGAAATTACACCAGGTAGACACTTTAAAGGGCTGCTACCTAGTAAATAGCCAGTACATCAAGAATTTCACTTTTTCAGTTTAATTTTTCGGAAAAAATTTCTTGAATTTATAATTTCATGACAAAATAAGTACTGAGTAATCTTTAGAATGCCTCCACCGATAATAAAATCTTGTTATTAGATAAAGTAAAGAGTTAGTATAGTTCACATGTATGAGTAGTTTAATTGCAAATGATAAATGATAATGGATGATTAATAACGAAGGAACTAATTATCCAACGACTAATAAAGAAGATTGTTACGTAGGAATTTGCATTAAAAACATTTTTATTTTTAAATAGGTTAATGCATATTATCTAGTAGTATTATATATGTATAAAGTAATGTATATAAATTTTTAGTTAAAATGAATAAGTACCCCGTATAGCCGGAATCAACTACACACTCTACCTTTGAGGGGTTTTAAAGTAGAATTATTTGGACCCTTAAAGTTTATGTGGCAGAGTGTGTGTATTTCACTCTCCCAAGGAGAGTGAGAAGCAAGAAAAATGATTTTCAGATTTTTCTTTTTTACCATTTTTTGTGAGATAATATTTCTTACTTTTTTTTATTCTTTTACTTTTTTTTTTGTTTCTTCTCTAATTCGGAGGATATTCACTCACCGGTGACTTCGTCTAACCATTCTTCTTCCATTTATTCTGTTTTTCTTCTTCCTCTTTTTATCCTTTTCACACAGAAATTAAACTCTAAAAAAGAACTATTCATAAGCAAAGTAAACTACACTCAGATTTGGGGGGGGGGGGGGGGAATACATCATCGGAAAACCTTCCCACACCGGAAAAAATGGAGGTATTGAAATTTTAATTGGAAAAAGTCTTCTTCTAACCTAGCAGACACAATTATACTCATATTATATATCATCACTCACCTCTTAATTATAACATCCATCATTTTTAGCTATCGTTTGGCCATAGCTTCCCAAATTTGTTCTGAAAAATGTGATTTGGATGAAGTTTGGTTTGAAGATGAAAATGTGTTTGGATATAAGTTTTCAAAACATATTTCATTTTTTTTTTGAAAAACATAAAACATGACTTCTACCCACAAGTTTTAAAAACTATCACAAATAACCAACAATACCTTTATCAACAACATTCATTATATTCGCGCAAATCATAGTCCTAAACATAAATAAATTTGGTACAGAATTATCATTTTTATAATGAACTACATAATACACTATCAGATGACCGATATACGAAGCACCATTGTTACAAAATAATAAATGGTGGGCTCTTTTATAAAATATAAAAGTTTGGGGCAATTTTTAAAAAACGTAATAGTGATATCTTGAGCTGGTTTTGGGATTTGGGTTTTGGAAATTTGCCAAAATATAGATAAAATTATGGCCAAATATGTATTTGCCAAAAAAAAACTCCTAATATATTTTGGCAAAATCTATGGCCAAACGAGTCCTTATAATTATTTCCTAGCCAAACTATCTAGCTCTAAAAATGGAGGTATTGAAATTTTAACTAGAAAAAGTCTTCCTCCGACCTATCAGACACACTTATACTCATATTCATATTATACATCATCACTCACCTCTTAATTATAACATCCATCATTTTTAAAGCTAGATAGTATGGGTAGTCAACCCACAATCACCAGTTATAGCCACCATCCAAAAATCTTCTATCATAATTGTCACGACCCGAATTTCACTTTAGGTCATGATGGCGCCCAACACTGCGATTAGGCAAGCCAATCCTAACATCTAGCGAGTTCTCAATTATTGTATTAAACACTCCCAACATTTCCATTAACTTATATTTAAAAGTGTCGATAATTGACAATTTAATAACAATATAAATGCAACCCAAAAATGATAGTATACTAATGTGTGTGCCAGGAACTAGTGTCACAAGTATTAGGGCAACTAGTAGAATATACAAAAGAATACCACTATCCTACTGCCTGAAACAGAATGGACAGTACATAATAAAACAAAAAGAAGAGAAACTTCGGTATGCTACTGAACGACTCAGAAGGGGCAGCTCACCGTGAGATCTCGACCAGGAATCAGGAGCGCGCGCCAGAGGGGTAACTAGATGCACCTGCCTCAGATGCTGTACAGTTAAGTACAGAAGCGTAGTATGAGTACATAAACAACATGTACCCTAACAAGTATCCAGTCTAACCTCCAAGAAGTAGTGACGAGGGGTCGACTTGACACTTACTAATGTTAATATCAATAATATATAAGGTTTACACTAAACATGGATGGCATGTATATAATGACATACTCAGAACAAGGAGCAACAATATATATATCAGATTCAGTCGCGTCATATAATAACTTACGTTTCAAGGCATTTAAACAGAGTAGACCATGGTGAATTCCACATAAATAACATGCGCACATTATGCCAAGGTCGTATGGCCCGGTCCAACATAATAATAACTATGCACTGCCAGAGGGTCGAATGGCGCGAACCATAGATGCATCTATTTCTACCGAGGCGATCGGCCCGATCCACAAATAGCAATTATTATCAAGAAGGCACATAAAGGCGCATTTATAGTCAAATAAATTTATACAAGTTCTCAAGTAAGTGCGTACATTCGTTTATATTTATTTTCAATCCCTAACATGTCCTAAGTGATCTCAGTAGCAAGCAAGAAAGTAGGCATTTGCAAGTATGGCATGATACGGGTCCTAAACTACCCGGACAATTAGCATAATAGTAGCTACGCACGGACGCTCATCACCGCGTACGTACGTAGCCCCCACAGACAATCGCATATATTTATTTAATTCACCTAGGGGTTTATTTTCCTTTTACGAGGTTAGAAAGGAGACTCACCTTGCTCCAAAGCTTACTTCCAATATCAAGAACGCGCTCAAACCCTCAATTCGGAGCCGAACGATCCAAAACTAATCAAACGGGGTAAGAACTAGTCAATACAAGCTCAAGAGTTCATATTCTAACTATTAAATAAATTTTCCAACCCTAAATACAAGTTTCCTAAAATCCATCTCCGGGCCCACGTGCCCGGATTCCGAAAATTCTCGAGGGAAGTTGTCACCCATAACCAAAGGATCAAGAATATATGATTTTTACTCCATTCCATAACAAATTTTGTGGTTAAACCTTATTTTCATCAAGATCCTAGGTTTTACTCTAATCCCGTGATTTTTACAATTCGTTAGGTGTTAATCTACCCAAAACCAAGTATTAAACTCACATTAAGTAGGAGTAACTTATCAATTGCTAGGTTGAAATCCCCTCTTTGGAAGCTCCTAAATCGCCCAAACAATGAATAAAATGTGTCAAAAATGACACATTCCCGTATTAAATGAAGGCACTGCCTTTAGCGATTTCTGAACCTGCAGTTAGGGGACCGCATCTGCGGTCTCACTTCTGCGGACTTTGCTTGGGCTGGCTGGGGGCCGCATCTGCAGTTCCTGGGCTCCTCCCCTAGGGCTGCACCTGCGAAGGATCGATCGCTTCTGCGGTCTCGCACCTGCGGCTGTTCAACCGCAGGTGCGGTTATGACAGCA